CCCCAAAACCCCAAAACCCCAAAACCCCTACTTAACCTCAATTTATTGAAAAGCAAGTAATATTATTAATAAAGAATCATTCAAATATGAGTGAAGGTGAACTATTCATATCAAGACTCTGATGTCGCCTATCTGTTATATACCCTGGGGTCAAAAAGTCTATCTATATGCGACTAAAGATTTTCTGTTATGAAACTTCAGCGAAAATCCCTCTGTTTCAGCCTAATCCTTTTCATAAAATTCTTCCAAATTAACTACAATTTTGAAACCAATATTAGATAAGAAATATTATCAGATTCTAAAAATTTATAAGAAGATTTTATATAGCTTGAAACAAATTTCTATGAATTTAATTGTCAATTAAACTCTAAATTTATCAGAGATAATTTAAATAATCACCTTCGTTCATTACCAATAATATAGAAGAATCATCAGGAGAAAGTACTTCAAGTGTCAGAGTCTCCCTCAGTTCAGAAAATGAAGAGAACAACTCTGAATCGTCAAGTGCTGAAGAACTGTCTAGTAAAGATATCCAGGAGAGTTTTGACCCTAAAACTGAGATTCTTAATCTCCAAGGATGAAAATTAAGAAGTCAGTTTACCCAATAATATTTAGATTCTAAAGACCTAGCAAGATTTTTGAGAAATAACAAAGAGCTAGTGAAGCAAGTAAGATAGATCCCTTTAATATCATAGCTCATTTTGGAAGATGCAGAGTTTATCGAGGATTGTGACGACCTTATTTCCCAATTTGGTAAGAATCATGCTAACATCTTTAGACAGCGGAACTTTGGCATTGCAAATTCTTAACCTTAATTATTGAAATATTGGGGTCACTCATACCAACCATATCTTGGAAAGGTAAGAAAGATCCATAAATTGCTCTAGCTTTTGCCATGTCACCGAGCTTAAAGAAATCTATATGAGAGGTCATGATCTCGTTAAAACAAATAAGATGATTGGTAAAGCTTTCATAACATGAAAATAATCTCGAGATCCTTGACATCTCTGATAATGCAATCGAATTAGTTAATCAAAGATGTCTTGATGCTCTACAGGATCTTATAGCTAACTCAAAGAAGCTCAGCCATCTGATCATGAACGATGTAATCATCAACGAAGAGGAAGGAATAAATTTCTTAGATTCTTTTCATATGAACTCAACTATTATCTCTTGGGAATATGAGCAGCATCCGAGTCTGACAAAAGAAACTATCGATAAAATTGAGAAGGAGTTATCAGTTAACAAGATTATTCACTCCCTGATTATAGAAAATTATGATTTTGACCATCCAAGCAACCTATCACTTCACAATATGGATTTATCAAACGCAGAGTCTATTATAAAGTTTTTGAAATGCAATACATCTGTTTATGACGTAGATTTAAGTCAGAATTTATTTGATGATAAAGAAATTGGCAAGATTATTGATTACATAATCACTAAGAAGAGGAACTTACATTCATTTAACCTCAGCTTCAACCACATCAACATTGCTGGGTGTCAGCAAATCTGTAAATTGTTTTACAAGGATGCAGAGGTGCTTAACATAGATCTCAGTCATAACCCCATTGAAAATGATGGCTTCATGGAAATCCTGAAATCTCTAAAGAAAAACATGATGACTAGGAAACTTTACTTGAATGAATGCGGTATAAGTAAGCCCACAGATTAACTATTTAGAATACGATGATGAAGCTCCTGATGTGATCGAATGACTCAAAAGAAACTGCTCATTGATCGCACTCTCCTTAGGTGGAAATGTGATATCTCAAGGAGTGCTTGAAGCAATCGAGGAGGAACTATCTTGCAATAGAGGCATCAATGACCTGATTGCTCCGATGTTTCATGATAATAAGATCAAAAATCATCAATTATCCCTTGCTGGAAGAGGAATCTCTAATTTAGATTTCTTGGCTAAATTTATTAGAGAAAACCCTCAGATAACAGGCATGAATTTGGAAGTAGATGACTTCCATGAAAATGAGATTGCTAAAGTAGCTAAAGAGCTCGAGGGAAATACAGGTAAGTTTCTCATTCTGATGAATAGGCATTAACCAATTCACAATGAGAGGAAATAAGAAGAGAAATAGACGCCATGTTTATGATGAAGATATGAGCAGTAAGGACCAACTATCTCATTCTTATAGAGTCTGGAGGTCTCTCTATTAATGTCAAGAGAAACAAACTCAACAAAGTCGAGTTTTTGGTTAATTATTTGAAAGATAATAGAAATATTCAGGTTCTTGATTTGAGCAACAATAATATTGGAAATAAAGGAGTCAAGAATATCACCAAACTTCTTGAAACTAATGAAGCAATTACAGAAATAAATCTTTCAGATAACAATATTGGAACTAAAGGTCTGAACAACCTCTGCTCAGCTTTGAGTTATAACAAGTCTGTTGTGAAGCTAGATATTAGAAGAAACCCAATTCCTTGGGGAGCAAATAAAATATTGCTGGCTCTTCTGCATAAAAATCCAAATATTAATGAAATAAAGTACTCTCATTACCATGAAGAAGTGAAAGACTACAGTGAGTCTATCCCTGAGCTTGAAGCTGAAGAGATCAGATTCCAGAGAGAATTTGTAAATAGACAGATTGAGAAAAATAAACCAAAGAGGAGTAAATGCTCTTCCATATTTTGTTGAATCTATTATTCATTTGCTGATGCAAAGGAAGAAGCGTTCAGGTTTAGATACTGTCCGGAAAAATTAGCCTTGCTTGAAGAGAGTATGGATTGGATCACCTGGATTCTATATATCAATGCTGCCTTATTTTACTTCATCTGTATATTCTTCCCAATCATCTTTGCAGGAAAGTGCGGTCATGGTATCAGCATTTGGAGTCATTTAATCTACACTTTTTATGCAATGGTTAATTTTGCGTTTGAGTTTTTTATTGTTGTGAAAATACAAAGACAACTTGATGACCCAACACTTTTAGCTCTCAATAGATGGCATTTTGGTAAGTTTGCTCAATAATTTTTAGTGGAAGCATTAATGGGACAAATAGCAAGGGTTGATTTTTATACAGATATTTGATTTATTGTCTTATTAACAGAGTGTCATGTCACTGGAATGATGATCCCAACAATTACTTCAATTACATTGATGCTTATTTATCCCATCTATAAGATATTCAGACTCATTAAGATCGAGTCTGAACTTCTTCACACACTTCCAAAGATTGAAAGAAACTGCAAACTAAGCTTTATCAGAGAAAACATGATGCTCGCAGTTGTCCTCGATAGTTTCTGAATCACAAATTACGAATATCTCTGCAAGAAGAACATCTTTTTCCCTCGTATAATGGGTGCGATCACTCTTTTCTTCCAGGATATCCCTCAACTAATCGTGCACATGATCTTTCTCTTCTTCGTGCACACCCATGTTCCTCACAGTGACCTAACCGTAACCCTCTCTCTGGTCACCAGTGTTTTCGCAATCATGGTCTCCAGCTTCAACGTACTTGTCTCCCACCCGAACCACTTCGACCCGCTCCTGCTCCGCATGGAACTGGACAAGAGGAAGAGAAGAAGCTACAGGTTCACGAACAGGAATGAATTTGAAAATTGGAGGAAAAAAGCGTACAAAGATGAAGACAGCAAGAAACAAGTCGACCAGATTGCACTAGCCGATGCCTCTGACAGTAAGAGTTTTTAGTAATCCTGTAGTAAGGAGTTCAGACAAGAACGCTACTGGTAGAGTAAAAGAATTACTTTTATAGTTATTACAGGTAATAATGGCAGAACCCAGATGAATCATAGAAGACAACCGACTATTGTAGAGGCTACAAGCTGTGAGATTTTGAAGATAAGAGATATAGGACAAGAAAATTATGAGTCAAATGTGGTAGAGTTGAGTGATGAAGCGGAAGTTAAGAGAAATCCAAGCACATTGATGAAGAAATTGACCAGGAAGAACAATGAAATAGGTATTCATAAGCCAAACGATTCGATACAATCTGAGAAAAAGTTGATAGATGATTAGAGCATTCTGATAATATAGATGAACTTATCCATTTGTTCAATAAAATATATTTACTTTGGGGTTTTGGGGTTTTGGGGTTTTGGGGTTTTGGGG